TGGATTCATTAAATCATCTTGGAATGCTAAATGTTGGACCAGATAGATTGTCTGTAAGATGGTGTGTTACATTGCTGATAGGTTTTAATATAACAAAGATCATGCAGTTGTTTTTGTGAATAGAATTGCATTATATTTTCTAGGAAACCTTGTCTGAAGACTACAAGAAGACAGCCCTGAACARACTTCCTTCCCTTCTTGAGGTATTGGCAAGGCCCTGATCCATTTGGGGATTCAACTCAAAATCCAAAATACACCGTAAATAGAGCATACTGTACATGCATTAATTTTTTATTTCCTTTGCACACTACTATGTGCCTCTTGCTTCTGGTCTCGGGTTCAATTCCTGAACTCAGCATCRTACATGTATGCGCATGAGTAGAGTTTGTTAAGTCTCACTCTTAAATCTATCAGTTTTCTCTGTAATCACAGAGTGGGACAATCACGAACGGAACCGTCAGAACCATGCTAGGTGAAAGCCCAAGATCAAATTGGAATTTAGAAGTTGGTTTTGCGGAGGGAGAAAAACCGGAGAACCCGGAAAACCCTCGAAGCACAGGAGAGAACCAACAAACAACTCAACTCCCATACAACATCAAGCTCGTAGGGACTCACACCCGCGTCGCATTGGTGAGAGGCAAGCACTCTCACCGCTACACCACCCATGCTTCCCCTTAACTTGGTCTTATTTCATTGGGTTCTTTAGTCTTCCTTGAACTCTCTGCAAAACTAGGGTCCATTGCGGAAGCTTTCGAGGTAACTGATTAATTGATTTTCAGGTATTTGGTTCCAGCTATTTCATGGGTGGAGTCTTGGTTGGCCCTTTGGTAAGTACATCTCTGTTCTGCCTTTACTAAATCTTGTAAAAATATTAGATAAATTTCCCAATAAAAAGTACAATCATGAAAATTAGTATAGGAAATCGCACGATCTCGAGTACAATTTGGAAATTAATAGACACGAGTAATGTTTTGAAAGTTCTTGTAATTGCATGAGCCTTTAGGCGAGTGCAATTAAAGAACTTTCAAAACATTACGAGTATCTATAAATTCCAAATTGTACTAGAAGATTGTGCGATTTTTTGTTTATAACACATTCAAAAAAATTGAGCAACTTAATTGGCACTCTACAGAGTACAATTTTGATTTAATTGTACTCCTCTCTTACAATCAGATTCGAGTAATTTTGTAGAGTGTATTATAAGGGCATAAAAGAAGTTTGTGGAAAATGGGAAAATATGGAACATATATGACAGCACATGCAATCCATGATCTTACACACAGCTATGTTTATTGTAACCTAAAAAAATATTATTACCAATCAGACTGCACTGTACCTTGGGTCAGGGAGGCGTTTTTTTAGGCCCCGTCCACACGTATCCGCAAATTTTTTTTGCGGATACGAAAATGTTCGTGTCCACACGCAGCGTATTCGAATCGTTTTCGAATTGTTTTCACTGTCCACACATATCCGGAAATTTCATGATCCGCCCTGATGCACGCTAGTGCCTAGTCCCTTTGACGGATAGTTTTTCTTATTGAGCATGCGCAAAATCGTGTTTACGTCAGCGTATTCGAAAATTTGCGGATACGACCGTCCACACGTATCCGTATTTGKAGCGTATTCGAAAATTTTCACTCTGGAGACCGTTTTCGAAAATTTCCGGGTACGGATACAAAAATTTCCGGATACGTGTGGACGGGGCCTTAGACTTTGAAAAAGTTTCAATTTGAACGAATGAAGCATCTTATTTATGCACCTACAGTAACTTACTTTGATTATAATTGTATTTCTATATGTTTTTCCTTAGTATTGCAGCTGGTTTCAAACGTCTATCTGCTGGGGTACTGTACCTTGGTCTTTATGCAACCCTTGGTTCATTTTTTTCAGATGAATATCTGCTGTCTCAAGATTTTAAGGTAATATGCTTATTGTTTGAGACAATCTTCAATGGAGGGATGCTTCCATCTGTCCACCTGGCCATCCATCCGTCGATCCATCCATCCCATTCATCCATCCACACATCAATCCCATCCATCTATCCATCTGTCCATCCACCTATCCATGTATCCATGCATCCTCCCAGCTGTCCATCCATCTGTCAATCCATCCGTCAATCCATCCCATTCATCCATTCACACATCAATCCCATCCATCTGTCCATCCACCTATCCATGTATCCATGCATCCTCCCAGCTGTCCATCCATCTGTCAATCCATCCCATTCATCCATCCACTCATCAATCCCATCCACTCGTCCATGTATCCATGCATCCTCCCAGCTGTCCATCCATCTGTCAATCCATCCGTCAATCCATCCCATTCATCCATCCACTCATCAATCCCATCCATCTGTCCATCCACCTATCCATGTATCCATGCATCCTCCCAGCTGTCCATCCATCTGTCAATCCATCCGTCAATCCATCCCATTCATCCATCCACTCATCAATCCNATCCATGTATCCATGCATCCTCCCAGCTGTCCATCCATCTGTCAATCCATCCGTCAATCCATCCCATTCATCCATCCACTCATCAATCCTATCCATCTGTMCATCTACCCGTCCATGTATCCATGCATCCTCCCAGCTGTCCATCCATCTGTCAATACATCCATCCAATCCTATTAACCAATCCTATCCATTTATTTTCTTCAGGACGTTCATGGGCAAAAGTTCCTATCGTCAGATTTTTCAGTACATCATACTAGAAGTAAAATAAGCAAATACAAAATGGGGGTCCCCAACTTCGTTTAGCCGTCAGAATACGTGGAAGTCACCCTTTTTACGGTAAAAACGTGCAAACAACATAGACATGGAAAGCCGTCAAAAATAATATTTATTCCCTTAATTCATTTTTTTTCTCACTCTGAATTCATATAGTATATCACARTTTACACAATCTTCTCATGCACATATTTTAAACAAAGAAACGCCCAAGCTAAAAAAAAGTTCTGTATTACTGATAAAACAATGTTTTTCCCTCAGAATCTATCTTATCTGGCCAAGATTTGGTATATTG